ATTTACTATATTAGCAATTCAGACCCCACAAGAGGAACTTCATTTAACAAAATGTCAGTGCAGCTTTCATTACTGAGATTCAAATCTTGTATGTTTTATTGGATTCAAGTCAGGCAACATACGCTTGTGTAATTTTTTGATAATTGTGAAAGTAGCGCAGAACGGCCACTACAGTTCTGATTAGTGGTACTTTGGCTCATTCTGTACCTCTAGATTACTGTTGCAATACTGTATTTCCACTCATTTTCAGTGGGTCACCGATCTTCTTGAATCCTCCATCTTCCATCTCTGAGAAGTCTAACAATTCCTGTCTATGCAGACACGGCCAATAGGCGCCAAAATGAGAATGTTCTGGTGTTTCAAATGTTTTTGTTTCACTGATCACAGGTTTTTGTATGTGATCACTCGTGTATTCGCTTGTGTTTCTACTTTGGGGCCTGTACTCCCTAAAATATAGTAGTAGTAGTTCAATATAGTATTTTTAAATAATGCAATTATTGAGAGGTGATTTAATTTTGAGCCGTTTGATATTTTAGTGATGTTGCACAGGGGTGAACTCATTTCTGCTGTATACTGTAATCTCTTGGTGGGCATCTGAAGTGGTGCTCTTACCTACACAGTGCTCATTGTGGACAATATACCCATCAGGACAGACACATCTGAAAGAACCATCCAGATTCACGCATGTTCCAGGAGCACATATCCCATGATTCAATTTACACTCATTAATATCTGCATTTATCAAAAAACAAGGCAGACAGTTATGATACTATAGGACTCCTATAATATAGGACTACAAATCCAATAACAAAATAATACTGTACCATTACACTGAATATCCCGTATAATTTCATATCATATAATTTGTTAGCATTTTTATTTCAAATGAACAAAACTGGTAAATAATGGAAGTTCCAACCCTATTCATCTATGAGAATGTCTCATTTGTAAGTGGCTCTGGATAAAAGTGTCTGATAAATATGAATAAGAAGAGAAATACATTGGGGTAGACCACACATGACAGTTGAATCACATTTAATAACTTGTGTGAGATCTATGACTTCTGCTCCACACACGCATAGTTGTGTCCTCTTCCATCAGCAAACATTTAAAGGGTGTACGGTTTTCTAATCCAAAGATATGAATTGAACAAAGTCTATTTTTAGGGCTAAGAATTTAACTTCATCTGCCTTTAACAGCGGGTTCCTTCTTGTCTGGTGATGTTTGTGGACTTTAGTCTGTCAAAACATAATGCCTTTCAGGGTTATTGTGTGATTTAGAGAGATGTGTGGGGTGGTCAGTGGGGTACAGATGAGACACACGGCATCAACGGTACCAGCTGTAGAATCCTTTTGTGTCACACATCTGCATCTCACGCCACACTTAACTAACTGAGTACTTTTATTCAGTTAACTGACGGAACTGAGTAAAAGTAATCTGATTAATGCACATGTTACTCACTGAATATGAGTATGAATGTTATTTGTTTTTAGTCACATACTTGTTCTTAAGTGATCAATGTTTTAGAGATGTATTATTCCTAATCTGAATTTTTAATCTTAACTGATCAGTGATTTACTGATGAACTGTGGGCTATTGAACTCTTAGATGTTCTGCTCTTGAGCAGCAAATTATCAGTTGTATATAATGAAGAACAGGAATAAAATGAAGAGCCGAAATCAAGTCATTTTTTGTTTCTTTCAAGACATTTTAAATTAAAATTAGGTGGTTAGGCTTCTCTAGAGTATTAAAAATGACTGTTTCAACTGTACCCGACTTGGGTACAACAAAATTACTTCTTGTATTTTCTACAGCCGTTACTTCATCGTTCCGAAGAAGGATGGGGGGGTTTGCTTCTGATCTTAGATCTCCGTCTTCTGAACCGCGCTATCAAACAGCTTCGGTTCAAGATGCTCACTATCAAGCAGATAGTATCTCAGATCCAGTCCGAGGACTGGTTTGTTACGATAGATCTCAGAGACGCTTATTTCCATGTTTCCATCCTCCCTCAACACTGGAAGTTCCTGAGGTTTGCTTTCGGGGGCGAAGCATACCAATATAGAGTTCTTCCCTTTGGCCTGTCACTCTCACCCCGCACTTTCACGAAGTGTGTGGATGCTGCTCTGGCTCCACTGCGGCTCCAGGGCATCCGCATACTCAATTATATTTAAATTATGCATACTCAATTACGACGATTGGTTAATACTAGCTCAATCGGAGCAGATGGCGGCTCGGCATCGAGATGTCGTCCTCGCCCATATGAGAGAGCTGGGGTTAAGACTAAACTGTGGATGCTGCTCTGGCTCCACTGCGACTCCAGGGCATCCGCATACTCAATTATATCGATGATTGGTTAACACTAGCTCAATCGGAGCAGATGGCGGCTCGGCATCGAGATGTCGTCCTCGCCCATACGAGAGAGCTGGGGTTAAGACTAAATGCCAAGAAGAGTGTTGTTTGTCCACTACAGAGAACCACTTATTTAGGCGTGGTGTGGGACTCAACCTCGATGCAGGCACGTCTGTCTCCTGCTCGAATCGAGTCAATCCTCACGACAGTCACGAGGGTAAGAGAAGGCCAGTCACTCACTGTCAAACAGTTTCTGAGGCTGTTGGGCCTGATGGCAGCGGCGTCCAACGTGATACCTTTTGGCCTGCTGTACATGAGACCCTTGCAGTGGTGGCTCAGAACCAAAGGATTTTCCCCGAGGGGGAATCCGCTTTGCATGATCAAGGTCACGCGGCGATGCTTACGTGCCTTAGATATGTGGAAAAAACGTTGGTTCCTGGTTCAAGGCTCGACGTAGGGGCTAACGACGGATGCCTCTCTCACATGGAGATTCTGCAGGAGTGATTCTCCGCGGGGTTATCTCCCTCCACTCTGAAGGTATATGTGGCGGCCTTAGCTGCTTACCACGCCACGGGTGGTCAATCATTGGGAAGACACCCAGCCTACCAAGCTTACGCACACAGAGCTGCCCGTGGCGTAAGGCAGATCAGCTTTTTGTTTGTTTTGGTCCGCCAAAGAAGGGATTTCCGGCGACCAAGCAGGCTATGAGTAGGTGGGTGGTTGAGGCCATCTCACTAGCCTACGAGTCCTCTGAGACGCTGCGTCTCTTTGCCATACTCCCTGCATCCCTGCAGGCGCTACTTCATCGAAGCTGGGTGGCGCCCGGCCGGATGCGCTTTTATGCTTTCTGGTGCTTACGTTACCCTGCTCGTGATGTCTCGCTGCTCCATTGGACGTATTTGATACATGCTTCAGAACGCGGTCACGCAAGGGCGTTCCCAAAGCGAATCTCGACGCAGCGTCTCGTTCCCTCGGGGAACCATGGTTACATACGTAACCTAGAGACGTTCTCTGGAATACTTGATTTGGATTGGTCAGTCATGACATTCATAGGTGTGTTATAACTGCCGTCATTAGCAATGGCGAATAACAAGCACTAATACAGGTATTTGAGGCCGGTGTTTCTTTCATTTCTCTCACATCATACTCTTTTGTTTCATTCAAACACAATGGCTATCATCTTGTCCCTCAGTTATCATCTGTATTTACTGTAAAATGAATCCAGAGGACTTCAGTATTAATAGTTGCCTTGCAGTAATATTTAAAAGTGTTTGTTTTGTTGCCAGAAAGATTGTTTTGTACACTCTTAAAAATAAAGGTGCTTCAAAAGTTTCTTCAAGCGATGCCATAGAAGAACCATTTTTGGTTCCACAAAGAACCATTCAGTCAAAGTTTCTTTAAAGAACCATCTCTTTCTTACCTTTTTATAATCTGAAGAACCTTTTGAAGCCACAAATAACCTTTTGTGAAACAGAAAGGTTCTTCATATGTTAAAGTTTCTTTATGGAACCATTTAGACAAAAAGGTTCTTCTGTGGCATCGTGAAGCACCTTTATTTTTAAGAGTGTACACTGTCATGGATTAAAGATAATAGATGGGTAAGATTTTTAAACACTTTCTTCTCAAATATAATTTTATGTCCTCGTCTTTATTTATGTGGAGTAAAGCTGTGTAATTATTAATGCGACCGTACATTATGCCTTAAATGGCCAGAACTTCATCTTGCCTAGGAATTGTTTTTCTTTGAGGAAGCTTTGCATTTAAAGAGCTAATAAAAATGTCTAATTATTTTAATGGCAATGGCATTTTTATTTATATAGCACCATTAAATGCAACTCAAGTTGTCCAATGTGCTTTACAACAAAAATAATAAAAAACAAACACATTACTAAAACATTTAAACAATAAAACCTTATCAAGAACAAATAGGTTTTTAGATTGGACTTAAAAAAGATCCAGAGGGAGCAAGTCTGATAGAAATGGACAAGCCATTCCAGAGTCTGGGGGCAGCTACAGAGAGCGCACAGTCACCTCTACATTTGTACCTCCACCTAGGGATGAACTACAGTCTCTGGTTGGATGATGCTCAGTCAGTAAATCAGAAAGGTATGACGGAGACATACCATTTAATGATTTGTAGACCAGAAGTAATATTTTAAAATCTACTCTGTAGCACACTGGCAACCAGTGCAGGGAACATAAAACTGGAGTGATAAGGTCCCGTTTTTGAAGACCAGTCAGGAGTCTAGCTGCAACATTTTGAACTAACTGTAATCGGGACGGTGCTGATTGGCTAATCCCTAAATAAAGAGAATTACAGTAATCCAGCCTGGAAGAGATAAAGGCATGGATTAGTTTTTCAACATTTTTGGAAGAAAGAAATGACTTTACAATTATTTACATTTGTGGCAAGTAGTCGTGTGATAAGCGGGATAATGTACATCCAGCCAGTTGTTATCACTTTGTGTCGGGGTCCTGATCACCCTGTTGGGGTTATTTCTGCGATAACATCTGTCTGGATGTACATTATCCCTTACTTAACTAATGAGACCTTATTGTAAAGTGTTACCAAAGAACATTCAAATGTACAAATCCACATTATAAAATATTACTATACAAAAAAAAAACGTTTAAGGGAACAACACCATTACCTGTACAGTAGTTATTACTGGCTAGCTCAAATCCTTGATGACAGATACAGTTAAATGAGCCAATAGAGTTTGTACATGTGCCATTCCCACACGGCTGGTGTGAACACTCATTAACATCTACTGAAGATAAAAACACCTGCTATAAACACCTTTCACAGGCAAGTGCTTTGAATGAAATACATCATCTCTGATGTGAACCACACTTTGTTTGAACATAGCCTTCATAGAGTGAGCTACCGAACATTGGTAATGATGGAGTAGTTCTGATACAGATTTGAGGAGCTCTTACCTACACACATCCTGCGGTTTTGTGTCGCAGTAAAGCCGGCGTGACACACACACTCGTATCCTCCTGGAAAGTCCACACAGTCACCATGACGACACATGCTGGGTGCCTCCACACACTCGTTACGGTCTGAAAATCACACAGAGATTGCTACGTAAGACTCAAATCACTGAGTTTCAATACTTGTTAATCCAAATGCTCACAGTTCTTTGGTAAAACAATTATAATTAATTTGAGACATTTAGAAACTATGAGAGTATGCCTTCACTCACAGACATCATAATGTTGTGATTTAGGCCTACACCATTTAAAGTCTAGAAAATGTGTAGCTTTTGGAAAGCTTTTGGGTTTTCTGCATGTGTGTATTTTAAAGTTACACAAACTCATGCACAGCCCACAAACAGTGGTAGTGTCTGTAGCCACTCACCAGCGCAGGCTCCATTAGGTGTGATTATATATCCATCAGAACATTCACACTGATAGCTGCCCGGCCGGTTGATGCAGTCTGCATTTCTCTGACACACAAGCTCTCCACTGCTGCATTCATCAATGTCTGAACACACAAACACACATTAAATAAACAGTGCGTCTTATTCACTAACCATGCGTATGAATACATTTGAGTGTGAAATCTGCATACAGACACTTTCATGAACAAATCATGATTAACCAATACTTTACATACTAAAATCTATTCTACATTTATGAATAAACAACACGTACACAAAATCACATACTCTGCTTGGCTTTTTGATTGTGTTAAGACTAGTTTTGAGGACAGCATGCTTGGCATTGCCGGAGGATCTTGCTATAGGTGCTCTCAGGCTCTTTAGAGAGCATCATGTGTTTGCTGAGAGTGACAAAAGGCTGTGGAGGAAAGGTTGCACCAGAACCCCTTATATGGAGATGATTTGACAAGTTTTATGCAAATGACTAATATCAGACACACCGTTGCTAATTTAGAATACTACAAATTCGCTAACATTAGAATGAAGTTACAAACAAGTTTGACCGGTTGTGAAGCATGTGTGGGAAACACGATAAGGATTTGGCTTAAATAACCTCTGTCAGTGACGTCATTGAAACGTATGCTTGTGAGAGGCTAAAAATAGATATGAAATGGGGGCGCCATTGGGTTTCTTTGTCTTTAGAGACTGCATTGTGTGCATCTGTGTTCTATGTGTGCTGTTGTTACGTTAAGAGCAGGATTCAGCTTTTCCAAAGAAAAAAAAATATGACTCTAAAGTATTCTAAAAGCTTTAAGCTTTTATTGCCCATCAGAGTGCACTACCCTAGATTCGTTTTCTTTCAGGAGGGGCTAGATTCTGCATCCTCGCTAAGATCATGGGGCTCGCATATCGAGCTGGCTGAGAGCTGAGAGACGGGCACATCCCTTTCTCTTATGCTCTCGCCAGATCATGATGATCTTGTGCCTGCTGCTGAAGCGTGCTCCTGCACTTCTTCAGAGCGAGCTGAGGACATGGGTTCTTTTGCTTCCGACAATATGGAAGTTGAGAGCACTGCTTCTCACACGATGACAAAGCATTTGAGGAGTTACTCGTGAAAAGTATTGGCCAAAAGACTAGCAGAGGCTTTCAATAAGTTTTTCCCCTGCCATGCTCAGGGGTCAGGCCGGCTCCTCTGCCGAGAGAAGAACAAAACCAGAGCGTGGCGAGTCGTGCGCACCCTTATAGAGATTGGGTTGCAACCCAGTAGGAAGCCGGATCTAGGATCCATCATTGTGGCCAAGAAGAAGTCCTGAGGCTGATGTGCCCAGGACCATGGGGTGTGCCCCAACACATTTTCCCCGATCGCTCTGCTTCCGGGAGTCCTGGAACCTTCATGTTTGGCCTTTGAGGGGGACCAACTAAGAGATGCTAGGCTTCCAGCTGATGTAGTGCAGACTAATCTAAATGCTAGGGCTCCCTCCACTAGAAGAAGTTATGCCCTCACATGAAATGTTTTTTAAATTTGGTGTATAACATGACGTGCATACCCAGCTCACTGCTAAGTTGTTTCAGTGTTGGAGTTCCTGCAAGAAAAACTGTCCTCAGGCACATGTCCTGGTAATCTTAGAGTCTATGTGGTCGCCATTCAGCTTGCCACACTCTGATTGATGGGGTCTCTGTAGGAAAACACCCTCTAGTCACTCACTTCATTCATGGAGCTAAGTGGTTGAGGCCGCCCACCAGAGTGAAGGTCCTTTTTTAGGACTTAGCTGTAGTGCTTGAGGGTCTGGTTGCCCCTTTTGAACCACTACAGTTAGCACCTGTCAAGCTTCTGACTCAAAAAATTGGTCATAGGTCATTTTTTCACAACTCTTCACACAGTTTTCCTTACCAATCTTAAGCTTGGCACAGCAGTAAATTTCACATCCAAAATGCACTTAAACTACCAAACCACTTCATATTGTAAGGGCAAGATTTACTAAATGACAAATTAGCGTAAGAGCGCAATTCCAAAAAAGCGCTAATGGGAGTGGAAATTTCTGCAGGTGATTTACGGACAAAGACCAAATTAACGAACACAGATGTAGCCAGATCGTTTCCATAATGACCAACACAATCTACTAAGAGCAGCGCAAATTAATGTCTGCTTTAAGACATGCATTTTAGGAGCATTAAATAATGGTGCAAATACCAGTAATTTGACAAGCTCAAACGATAGTAAATCGTGTTGCATGATTCATTTTAATACTCTCCTCCCATAAATTTTGCGTCTGAAAGGGAAACTCCTACAAATGCATATTCAATAAGGTCAGCTGCAAAAATAACTGTGTCCACGCCTTTTTAGCGCTAATTCTTCACTGTGCGTCTTTAGTAAATCTTGACAGTTCTATTTTAACGCCAAAAGACGGTTTGCACAGACTCAAGTTGTTAGTTAATCTGGCCCTAAGTGTCTTAAATCAAGTCATTCTTTCACAATAGCAACAAACACACATAATCACTCATAAAACAATGACCTAAACAAACACACTAAAAACAGAGAGCATGTCATGTTTTTTTTCTTTTTTTCAAAACAAGAATTACAGCTCTCCGCTGTTTAGAATTCAGTATATGTTACATTACAAAAATGTATTCTGTGTGAATACAGAGAAAGTAGCCATCAGACCTTCACAGACGAGCAGCAGATCACTGTAAATGAAGCCTGTGGGACACTCGCAGTTGAAACTGCCCACATGGTTTATACACACACCATGAGCACAGACACCTGGGATTTCATGACATTCATTAATATCTGAAAAGATCAGATCAAAAACCATTAAACATGAAGTAAAAACAATTCCTACCATTTCTAACGAAATTTCTCTGGCTGCGAAATTTGTCTTTACCTTTCGGCTTTCCAGTTTCAATGTCAATCCTGAATCCGGTCACACTGCCACAAAGACTTCTATAGTCACCTAGAAACATAGAGAGAATGTTTGCATATGGGCTCAGCTATAGTTCAGAAACACAACTGTCCCCAGAATTTGAATCTAACAAAAGGTCTGTATTATTCTTTTAACCCCGATTCATAGGAATTAAGGAATGAGATTGACGCAATAGTAGCCTCAATAGACTCAATAGACTTTAATCCTGCACCTTGAAGGGCTTGAGGGGTCATCATTCCTGCAGTTCTCATAGCATTGGCTACTGACAGATATGAAAGGGAAACTTTCTGTATGAGGACATTCAGGAATGTCAAGAAATGAAGTTATTCATAAATTATAATAATGTTCTTTGAAAATTAGGGTTTGTGTGTGTCTTTAAAAAACATTACAGTCACATTAAGTAAATGCGTGCGTTCACCTGTGCCAGGGCTCGGACAGGCCTGGCATGGTTTGTTCCAGGCTTTGCCCACATTGTAGGCACAGCAGCACAATCTCTGTGTGGTGTTGAAAGTAAGCTGGTGTTCACAGGTACTACCACTGTAGTTACGGTAACACAGACTTTTTCTCATATCTAAAACAACACACAATCCTACAATTTTAGTAGTTTGCATTCTTCAAAAAATAGACAGTCATAAACAAACTACACTAACACACATAAGTAGATAAAAATATATGTAAATAAAAGCTATTATTATTATTCAAACTATTAAACATTTAATTTACTGTCTTTAACAGTTGCTACAGCAGAGGATGTGAAGTACTCTGCCTCACGCACCCATGCAGCTGTGTCCTCCGTTCACTGGCATGTAGTCCTGTGCGCAGACACATGTGTAATTTCCCAGTGTGTTGTAGCAGGTGCCCGGGCCACAAACGCCTGAACTGAGCACACACTCATCAATATCTGAAAGACATAGCTTAGAGTCAAACTCACCTTTCTGAAGATCAGTCAGCTGACAAAACTTATTTTTGACCATAGCAACACTTGTCTCACCCTCACACATGCGGTTGTCCATGTTGAGGATGTATCCAGTCAGACAGTCACACTGGAAACTTCCAAATGTATTGATGCAGTTTCCACCCTGACACAGGCTGGGCAGCTCCTGACATTCATCAATATCTGACACCAAAAACAAAACACTTCTGAGTGTATTTTCCTCTTGCAGTATGTGAGTTCTCAATACCCTTTTATATTGAGTTCTCAATACCCTTTTTTATACAGGAAGGATTATTTTGTTTACTATTTATTCCTATTTTTCTTCTTTCGATATAATTTAGGTTTTGATTGCACTTATATGTAATTAGAATTATAGCCATCGGTTAAGAAGAAGCTTTTGATATTTGCATTGCTTGTTTACTGCACTTAAGTGGTGAACTCGCACAATAGTTTCGATTTGAGCCATTTGCCTGCTATAGCCTTTTGGTGTGCTAATTGTGAAGGTGTCCAAAGCTATTTTCACTCAAGAGTCAAGAAGCGTTGTATTTATTTGTTATCTGTGCATCAGGGGAAGCGTTCAGCCCTCTTGTTCAGCCTCCTCGTGTGTGGACTGACTCGGGCAAAGACACCGACATGGCACTTAAGTATATTTTAATTTCCTTGTTACACACTCTCATTTTTGCCCTCTCTTTTCCACACATGTGTTTCCAATACATTCCTGTTGTCTCTCAACAATGCTCTAACATCGAATGCAGACAGCAATGCGATCTTGTTAACCTGTGTCCTATCTGCACCTCCTCTACTGCACCTCTCTCTTTTTCTGTGGGTCTCTGGCATTGTCAGTCGGCCTGTCAACAAAGCAGACTTCATTCCAGCAACTGCTTCTCAGTCTACTCTTAGAATCTTGGGATTAACTGAGACCTAGATTCATCCAGATGACTCAACAACCCCTGCTGTCCTCTGTAACAACTCTCACTGTCCGGTTGGGAGGGGGTACTGGTCTCCTCATTTATAACAATTGGAAATATTCAACCTACTCTCCCCTTTGCAGTAATAACTGTTTTGAATTGCATGCTATTACGGTAACAGCTCCAATAAAACTCCATGTTGTAGCAATTTATCACCCTCCTGGTCAACTGTGCACCTTTATAGAGGAGCTGGATGGGCTGCTGTCCTCATTGCCTGAGGATGGCAGTCCACCTGTAGTCTTTGGTGACTTCAATGTCCTTCTGGAGAAGCCTTACACTGCAGACTTCCACTCACTCCTAGCTTAATTTGATTTCAAACAGCTTACCACCACAAGCACTCACAAATCAAGCAATCAGCTTGACTTAATTTACACACAATTGTATTGCAGACAATACAAATTTTTGGTAAAACCCCTACACATCTCTGATCAGTTCTTCATTACATTTAACCTACAATAGGTTGTAAATGGCACTGGTCTAGCAAAGGTGTCGTGGTTGCCATGGTAACCAGTGGCCTGTGGTCATTCGCAGACATCCTTGCGCCCAGTCTATTGGGTGAGGGGTCTGTGACGACTTGTTAATCTAATGAATAACTGATTTGTTAAATCAAATGAAAAATTGTGTTTTTGATTGGTCCAGACGCTACAGCAGCAACTGACACTTTATGCTTTATGCTACTTTAACTTCTTGTCTAGACGATATATGTCCTCTCTCTTCCAGGCCAGTGCGTGCTACCCATTCTAACCCCTGGCTATCTGATGTTCTACGAAAACATAGGTCCAAACTCAGGGCAGTAGAGAGAAAATGGCACAAATCAAAAGATCCATCGGACCTGAGTATGTATCAGTCTTTGCTTTCATCTTTCTCTGCTGAAGTCTATACTGCCAAATCTTCATACTTTCACAACATGATCAACAGCGCTTCAGACACAAGTAATCACTTCAAAACATTAAATTCTCTCCTCTGTCCGCCTCCACCACCTCTTTAACAGCTGATGATTTTGCTACATTCTTCACAGATAAAACTAAAACCATCAGCAGTCAGTTCTTAGCTCCACGCACACAGGAACTCAAACCAACCACATCCACTGCTAAAACTCCCCTGTCCTCCTTCTGTGCCACTGAGGCTAAAGTTTCCAAACTTCTCCTCTCCAGCCATCTTACAACCTGTCTAGAACCAATCCCCTCACACCTTCTCCAAGCAATCTCTCCAACATTCTTACCAGCACTCACACATATCATCAACACCATCTCTTCTCACAGGCATTTTCCCCACCGCATTCAAGCAGGCTTGAGTAACTGCTTAAAAAGCTGCCTCTTCCCTCCAATTCATGGAGAAAAAAACACTTGAACAAATTGTTTTCAACCAGGTATCATTATTTCTTTCACAGAATAACCAACTGGATTTTAACCAATCAGGCTTCAGAAGTCCATTTAACTGAGACTGCATTACTGCCAGTCACTGAAGCCTTGCGGATTGCAAAAGCTGATTCCAAATAATCAGTTCTCATTCTGCTGGATCTATCTACCACCTTTGATACTGTGAATCATCAGATCCTTCTGTCCACCCTGTCATCACTAGACATCACAGGGATTCCACTTCACTGGTTTGAATCCTATCTCACAGGTAGGTATTTTAGGGTTGCCTGGGGAGGGGAGATATCCAAAGCACATCAACTGGTCACTGGGGTTCCCCAGGGATCAGTTCTTGGACCCCTCCTCTTCTCCATATACACTACATTACTGGGATCCATCATACAGGCACATGGTTTCTCCTACCATTGTAATGCTGATGACACACAGCTCTATATTTGATTTCAACCAGGCGATCCAACGGTAGCTGAACGGATCTCAGGCTGCATGGCGGACATGTCGGCATGGATGAAAGAACATCACCTAAAGCTCAACTTCACAAAGAATGAACTTCTCATCTTCCATGCCACTCCGACTCTAGAGCATGATTTCACCATTCAGCTAGGTTCATCAACAATTACCCCATCAGGTTCAGTCAGAAATCTTGGTGTAAGATTTGATGACCAGCTGAAAAATACCACATTGAAAAAACCGCTGGATCATGCAGGTATGCATTGCACAACATCAAGAAGATCAGGCCCTTCCTAGCGGAGCATGCTATGCAACTTCTTGTTCAGACCCTTGTCATTTCTAGGTTGGACTACTGCAATGCTCTTCTGGCTGGACTTTCATCATGCAAAATCAGATTCAGAATGCAGCAGCATGACTAGTCTTTGACTAGCCCAAAAAGGCCCACGTCACACCTCTCTTTAACAAGGGAAGCACATTAATACTACCTCCATACTCACAGTATTGGAGGAGAGTCACAGAAAGGCAAGTGGGATGCTAATGGTGGTCATGCCCAGTCATTCTATTCTGTAACTACCCCTTCCCTCACATACTGCAAGGGAAACACTTGCACTCTACGTAATGACCCCCAAGTACTGGAGAGGGCGACAGATGAGGAAGTAGGACACAAGTGGTGGTATTGCCCACTCTTCTCTTCTGTAAAAACCCATTCATAGGAGCGTAGGGCTGTGCAAAAAATCAAATGGGATTTTCATGCTCATCTCATCAGTAAAGCCAGTTCTGTGATTAGTAGTAAATCTCCAGCACGTGCTTTCAGATGGAGCGGCATTTACTTCACAGAGCTGTAGTTCACTGACAAGCTACGCAAAATTGCGTTCAAAATCGCAGGCGATTCATTGCCGATTCATTTTTGATTACTCTGTGTAACGGGACCGACGAGACGTGAGGCGTGAGGATCCATGTGCAAGCTTTTATTAAGAGACGTGGTTTTAACAGGCATGGGTCAGACAATGGCAGACAGGTATATCGAAGGCAAGACAAGAGATAAATCCAGGTAGAAGGCAAAGGTCCAATCAGGGGCAAACAGAGTCAGAAAAAGCAAGGAAAGGGTTAATCCAAGAGACGTGGCGTGAATCAGAGACCAGGAAAACAGACAAGGCAAGACTAAGAAAACTATGAAAACTTAAACAGGCTCGGTAAAGTAGCTATCCGCTAAACAGGGATACACGCAAAACAATACACGAGACGAAAACAGAAAACACGGAATGGCTCAGTAAGGCAGCTAACACTTGGGGAGTGAAAAATGCAGAACAATACTCGGCAGTGAGAGAGAGGAAGTCCATGGCTTAAGTAGCATATCGGATTGGATTCAGCTGTGTGTGTGTGATCAGTGCATTCAGCTGTGTGCATGTAATCAGTGCAATGGTTGATGGGAAATGCAGTCCAGGGTGATGTGTAACAGTCTGTGTGGTGTGAGAGTCAATGTAATGGGAGAATAACCTCTAGTGGCAATCGGCCTGAAGCCCACGGACCAGATTCGTGACAACCCAATTGTTCACTTTTAAGACGTTACTGTTGTGTTTAGTAATTAACTGGTTATTCTTTATTAATTAGTCATAGTTCTCAATGAGGATATATATTTTTAGTAATGATCAAATATCTAATAAGGAACTACCTTTGTCCTAAATTTGCTACTACTTACTGCTTAGTTAATCTTGCTTCTCTATTAGTTAATAGTATTAAGTTAAGTGTTAATGTA